GTCGGCTGCAGCCGAGTTCCAATAGGTTCCCTGTCAGGAGGGATGAGCAGGCGTGTAACATCCAGCGGGTCGTATGCCTTGGTCCGACATCTGGTCCGAGCATGTAACCTTGGCAAAGGTTGTATACCGCGGCTATGCTGTCAAGCGAGGTGGGGGACCCAGCGACTAGGCGTACGACCTTCGAATGTCATGTGCCGTGGACCAAAGTTCGTCTCTTCACCGCGCCGAGTTGTGCCTATATATCAGCAATCTATTGGCTAGCGAGTACCTCGACTTCCTTCTGTTCTCCTCGGCGGTGGGATGGACCGACTACGTCTCGGTTCCTTTTGGCCCGTCTGTCGTCGAGGTAGCCTCGAAGGTCTGAGGTGCGAGGTGGAGGTGGCATTTCTTGTTAGTGGCGGTGTCCTTGGATTCAGCATCGATTGCAAGACCGTACAGATTCATTCTCCCTTCTACTAGGAGGTCTTGTGTGCCGAAGGGGTTGGCTCGCATGTCGACTACTACCAGGTTCGGAGAGCTCGATCCGGTGGGAGTAGGCGGAGCCGAGGTCTAGCGGATCCGCAGACGCGCTGCCCCCGCTAGTTTGATCCTTGGGTAGGGTGACCACCCTAAGGGCAATTTCCTGCCTGGGGACACGCCAGGCAAAGTGGTCCAATCGGTCTAGGACCGCTTGGAWTTGCTCGTTGGTGACCAGGTTCTGGGCATTCCTGGTGTTTCGTACCATGTTGAAGGAAGTCTTTATTGCAAGTTAGATTGAAGGAAGTCTTAGCAACGTTCCCACAGACGGCGCCAATTGTTGATGCTCGGATTGGTCGAGGTCAACACTGTCAGTTCACTCCTAAGCCGAGGTACGAGGTACCCAAAGTTGAGGTGTCTGAGGTGGCCAAGGGCGGGTAGATCGATCTTGCAAGGTGAGAGAGCTTGTTAGAGGCCCCAGGTTGGCACCCAAGGCAGAGGCTCTGATGGTCAAGTTAGTAACAGGAGGTGGAAGAGGCCACTAAAGAGTAGGAGACCTTAAAGAGCAAGAAGAGTGCTTGAGAGTTAAGTTCTGGGATCTTTTACCTTGTAGGGGTCACCTCTTATTTGTACTTGAGGCTACCAGGGGGCGGACGACCTGGATGTAGTCCGTACCAAAGGCGCGATCATCTGGGAGTGCCAGGTGAGGGCGTGCGATTGGCTCCACGAGGCCTGTGAAACCCAACCTAGCGTGCACCCTGATTGGTCCAATGCGAGATACTGACACCGGCTCTGCTCGCAACCCAATTAGTTCCTCTATGTGCTTCGCCGCCTAACGCGTATAGACTCGCCACTGGCCCAGCCAGATGCACCTACATCATATAGCAACCGTCGATGAAAAGACTAAAAGGAAACAAGTGGCTTGTCATTTCCGCTTTGGAGGAAGAAGATTGTGGAGCTTTCATTCACGAAAGCAATTCCTAAATGGAATAAGATTCTCCTTGTCGCCCTGAAATCCGATAGGCTGTTCGGAAAGTTGGAGTAGTGGTGGATCAGGGTCTTTGGTGTTCCTCTCTCGGCCTGGTGCCCGATTGTGTCAAAGAAATTGGTGACGCAGTGGGGGCTTCATCTTTGCATACCCAAAAAATCTCGCCTAAGAGAATATTGACTCAATCCGTCTTCTGGTATAGAGCAAAGGGGTTCGGGATATACCAAAAACTACAGAGCTCGTTGCGAAAGGCAATACATATTTGCTGCGGATTGCGGTTGAAGACCTTGAGCTGCCGTTGGAGAACCGGCCGTCGTGCAGTTGTAACTGGGAGTCTATCCGATGATCGCCTGCTTTGCCAGACTTGGAGAGGAAGCCACACCCTGTTCCGGAGTATGAGGTGGAGCTTGGGACTCGGTAGTGGGAGCTGCTGGTCCCTATTTCTCTTTTTGTATGCATCTTGTATACTTTTGTCTTTTTCTTTTTTTCTAATAAAATTATCTTACCTACCTTATTCAAAAAACATTAATTGGTGGAATTCATCCCTAAGATTGTCTCATGAGTCATGACCATATTCACATTCTTAAATTAATACATACTAAATAGAAATTTAAGGGGCCTCAAATATGGCCCATTACTATTGGGTTGCAACTATCAACTACACCATAAGCATCTTCAACATTTCTACCATTTCCTTGTCTTTCAGATACCTCTTAATTAAGAGCAATCTTAGGACAAGGTTAAATTTCAAAATTGGGTGCCACGTCGGGAGCACATTGGCGATTCTCTAAAATGCCGATTATTTTTTGTTTGGTGGCCGATTTTGGGAGAATTTTTTGAGAAAACAGTCCTTGGAATCTGGCCCAAAGGAGGGATCACCATTTTCGGTGATTTCCCGATTTCTGGCTGATTCTTTTTTTCTCAGGGATTACATGGCATCCTATTTGTAAAGTGGAGATTGTGATTTGGTGCTTCACAAATCACCAGATATGCTATTTTAAGCTAAGACATATTGATTCTTTTTTTTTCTTGTGATATTTTATGCATTTTTTGCTACCATTTCTGAGAAATTTTTGCAATCATTACAGTTGCATGTGGTATTTTAAACCATTTGTAATGGATTTATCATTTGGGCTGTTAGATGGTATCTAAAGCATGTGAGTGGAATACACTGAATAATAACTCTAATGAAAAAAAAAAAAAACACTTGAGAATTACTACCAAATAAATTCATAACCGATTTTTTAAAAATGGGTTCAACTATGATATGGGACAAAAAAACTGACCAATAAACTGAAATCACAAACTATGAGCAAATAAGGTGTTATTTATTAAAATTCATAGGTGGGTTTTGATTGGTCAAAACTCTTTCCACATCATATCTTTTCTGCATCATAAATTTTCCCTTTAAAAAGTGGCTCACAAGGCAGTAATGATACCAAATAACAATTAAAGGTGATTTTTGAAAAATCACCAATTTCTGAAAAACCGGTGAAGATGAATCAGCATCGGTTCCAAACACTGCCTTTATTTTCTAAAAACAAAAACAAATGTAACATGATTTTGGTTTTAAAAAATAAAAATAAATAAAAAAAAAAACATATAAAGAAGGTTCAAAATATCATAATGTATCATTGTGCATCATATCATATTATGATGCTTATCAACCAGGGCTTTAGACGGTGTCTTTATGTTCAAACGTAAAAAGACTCTCCTAACATACTTAACCCTGAAAAAATATCCTGAAAAAAAAAATAAAAAATAAATAAATAAACCATCACCCATTAGAAACATGTGAAGTGCAAAGTGAAACATGTTTCTGTGTTTTATATGTATCAATACTTTGAACCATGTACATGAACCAATTCAGATCTACTACCCACAAGAACCATACTCAGGCCTACCCACATGATACTACAGTTGTACATTGGGAATATCTCCGCATGAATGGTAACATGGTAGGGTTCTTGTGGGTAGGAAATCTGAACTCTATATGAACACTTCCTTCTGAATCTATTGTTTGCATTTTGTACCACTACTGTGTGTAGGCCATTATGTATCCAATCACAAGTGAATACACCAGTATTCAACAGATCCAGAATCTTAAAATAGAGCTGTGAATAGGTTGAGTCTGATCCAGGACAGGGTGGACCTGGTTGCCAACCAATGAAATGAAAAAAAAAATGCCAACCCAGTCCCCAATTAAACCCTAATAAAAGCCGATTAAAATTAATAGCTATATACCAACCTATAATTGAGCAACTTCTCATTTCTTAATGCATTTGAACATAATAATAATAATAATAATAATAATTTTATCCCAATCTGGTGTGTATAATTTTATCCCAGCTCATCTGGACTGTTAGAATGCCTATTATTATCTCAATAACTCAAGGTTCTAACTGAGGGGTGGCTCAGTTGGTATGTTAATTGGTTTGTTTCAGCATGAGAATTTGAATCCCGTTATGCCAAAATTTGGGGAGAGGAGGCTAAGTATGCTCAAAACGGCCCTATGGGATATTAGGGTGTATCACCAAATACCCAAAAATAAAAAGGTTCAGGATTCCTCCATTGCCCTTTCCTTTTCTTCAACACTAACTGGTAGGACTTAGGAATATCGGCTTCTGGGTCGAGTTGTCCAAGGCCTCAGACCTAACCCATGCTGGTTTTAAATCGGGTAGCCCTAACGCGACCGGTTCAACCAACTCTACCCAGTCCTACCCTCGACGTCAAAATTCAAAGAGACCATAGTTGAATTTCTATCTCATCGCCAAGCGGACAAATTTAAGTTGGTGTTTGGAGGAATTGTAAATCTCTCTGTGGATTTAGATGAAGGCCCAGGGCCCAAGCCCAGAACTAGGTGAGCTGAAGGGTTCGTTTGAAAATAAAACCCGTTCTCTTGGAAGCAAACCAAAATAATACAACAAACTGGGGACCCAAACGTCACTCACTTCCTGACGTCTCGGTCACAGAGTCGGAGTCGCAGCACAGCTTAAAAATCAGCTACTCTCGGTGGAGTAGTAAATTAGCAATGGGCTAAAATTGTGAATCACAGCCCTTCATGTTTTGATATGGCCCACTTCGAATCGGATGAAGTGAGGTAAAGTGGGGGCCACAAGAATGCATCAAAGGCCGTGCTTTTACGATTTTAGGCGCGCTTTGTGTGGAGCAGATCTGGACTCCACGGCTCCACAGCTCCACAGCACATGCGATGCGCCTCTCTTGCAAAAAATCTAGGCTCCTTGAAATGAGTCCGGATCTCCTATCCACGAGAAATCTGTCCACGTTTATCGGAGTCATACATGGAGAATATCTCATCCTCTGCGTAGTATTATGCAGGGGGAGATATTCCCAATTCACAGAGGATAGTGTATCGTRGATAGGCGTGGGCAAAATTCTCGTGGGCAGGTGATCCGAACTCCCTTGAAATTGAATGAGGACGGAAGCGTCATTCATTTCAACCTTTCCTCCTGACCGTTGGAGAATTTGAATTTCAAATTCTAATTTATGATAACGAATCGAAAATAAAGAAAAGAAAAAGAAGAGTAGAGGATCAATGAACTAGAATTCAAGAAACAGACGAGAAGGGGAAAGAAGGCAAGAAACCATGAAGACCGTTGTCCTGCCAGCATCCTCTGCAAGATCCACCACCACCACCGTGGAAGACTGGTCCGAGACTCGCGATAACTGCTACTTTCCTGGGTGCCGAAAGGATGCAAATTGCAATTGCGAGATCTGTCTTGCGAGCATCAACGCTACCCTCGATCTCATGCCGATGAGCGTTCAAAGGAGTTCGTTTACAAAGCTCTCAGCTTCGAAACAGGCGTTAGAAAGAACCCCAGTTTCATTTGATCCTTCAATTCTGTTCACGCCCAAATCCAGTATTCATCAGACTCCAATAACTCCCCCTCTCAAATCCACTGCAAAGTTGAGTTCTTTGGAAAAGATTGAGAAGAAGAGGAAGAGACCTTGGGCTATTGAGTTTAAATTTTGGAGATTTCTCGTTGGACTGAGCTTGATTTTAGCTTCGGATATTGGCTTTGCGTGGGTGGTCTCTGGGCTTTTCAAACCTGAACTCTCTGCAGAGACAGTAAGGACTATTGCGGGTGAATCTCGGATTCTGAAACAAATGAATTTAAGATTAGAGTTCTTGGAGAAAAGGCTTGGAGATATTGCTCATGGGAAGGTTTCAAATTGCAGCTCTGCGGGTTCCACATGGGAATTTAATCAGGTAACCTCCAGTAGAACGCAAATTGCCTCCAATTGTTTTTAGAAATTATTTTGTTTCGTTTAAGAAATATGCACATCATTAATCTTTACATTTGGATCATTTAGATTCCTTTTCTCCTTTAACAAATAAATAAATAAACTGAGAAATATTTCTGCTCCTGAAATAATTGACAGATAAAAGTTTGTTGAAAATCACTGCAGGACGGATTGCTTTTGAATTCACGTTGCATACTGTATAAATCAGCATCAGAAGAGATAAGCATATGGGGATGGCCTCTGCGAACTGCTGGACTGCTTGCAACAGGATTTTCTTCTCGATCATTAACTATCTTATCAGGCAAAATCACAGAGGTAAGTTTATATTATGACAGTATTAGGATTTGTTTGTACACATACTCTTGAGCCATTTCTTTACAATTCATAAAACAAATATGGGGTTGGTGCCCACCATTCCCACGGTTTCAAATCAACCATGGAGTGGTCATGATCAGGAGACTTCTCATTTGATCATCGCAGTGAATGCAACTGGTTTGTCGTTTTCAGTTATCTGGGTCCATTCAAGGTTATAGTAAGGCAAAGTTTGTATCTGTTTTACAGTTATCTGGGTACATTTAATCGTCTAACACTTCGTACCTGTTTGCTGAATCAGTGGTCAGAAGGAAAGTTTGGGTTTTCAGTTGGGAAGACAAATAGCTCATGGGTACAGAAAAGATGGAGCGCCTCTGTTGTACAATTAGATCCAAATACCTGGGTTCTTGAGTATCGACAGAGCACAATGTTGGAGAATCCAAGATTGATTTTGTCTGTGCTGGAGTTTGTGAAATTCGGAATATCAAGAACAATTAGAGAGATGAAACATCAATTCTGGATGTTGCCTTCCTTCTCTCACCACTACAGGAACACTGCAGGAGATAATTGCTCACGCCCAACTTAAATGTACATCAGAACATGATTCATACCTCACTTCTTGTGAGGCTTTTAATTCGCCCTTCTCTTTTGGCAATTGTAAGAACTTATTTGCAGATTATTAACAGTGATAAAGTTAACCAGTCAACCTCCATGGAGAATCCCAACTATGGAAGAATGACAATTGAACTAGGTAGAACAAACAGTTGACAGACTAAGCAATGATGTTTTAGGTAAACTGAGATGTGCTAAGGCATGGAAATGCAGGAGAGTCATAGCTGCTGAGAGGAATCATGGGGGTTGGTTCTCCATTCTCCAGCATCAACAGCAACCATGATCATGTTGAGGTTTACTACAAATTCCCCACCCCTTGGGCCTTTTGTGCATCTCCTCCCTTTAGTGTCCTCAATTGATAGTGTAATAGATCACTTAAGCAGAAAGTTTGGATTCAATGAAGATGATGAGATGCATGCTGTTCCTTGGAACCGATCGTGAGAGATGGTTTTCGGACAGAAGATAATAACGGTGGTTAATGTAACCACACAGCACAGAGTGGGGTGGGGAGACATCAAATTAAGAAGGTATTGTTTTTGTTTTAGAAAACAAAACCATTCAGAATGGCCAACAGTCGAAAACCCTATGTGGGACACCTCAATTTTTTTTTCTAACCTTTAAATTGATGTGGCGGAATTTGGAGTGAGATTAAGGGGAAGAGGGGGTGGATGAATAGCGTGGACTGATCACTTAAATGACCGCACCATGGATACATCCAAATAATGTCGCAATTTCTCATCCATATATGGTAGATCAATTCACACCACTAAAGTTTCACAATAAATGACTAAGATTTTTCTTATTGACAAGGCATCTGCACCATCCATACCATTAGTCTCAAACCCTCACCAAAGTGTTGTATGGTTCAAAATAGTGTTGGGGCCTAGTGGATCAATTCAAATCACTCAATTTCTCATCCATTCTATTGAATGAGTCTGAATCTGCCAACAATAATACATTACTGGTCAAGTTCACCCAACCACACTTGGGAACATCGGTTGTACTTTATATTCCAATATTTTTGGCCAATGTGTTGTGATCATCAAATTCGAAACACAGTTTAAACATGTAATATAACGTATACAGCCTCGTGATTCATGAATTTGCCCAGTCAACCAATTCTACCTGGTACCTGAGCTTCACTAGGACTCACAAGGAAGCAGAGTAGCCTCTACCAACTGCCAATCGGGAAACACAGTATTGCAGACATGAGGCAGCAGTATGTCCATGACTTCATCCAATCACATGCGAAGGTGGTCGAAGACTCGAAGCCCATTAATTTTCAAAAAAAAAAAACGGAATAAAATTAAATTCTTGAACCTCTTGATTTGACAATGAACAGGTGAGGAGATAATCTCAGGCAAAAGACGTGGATCAATGAGAAGGTCAAATAAGAAAGTTGAAGTGCCTGGTTGAGATCTGGATTTAATGATCAACCAATATCTATATCCAATGTATGTGAGCGTGACCAACAATGTGTTGTGTTAAGCAGATCCTAACTTCAAATAAGATACTTATGTCAATCGAATTCTGTTCCTTGCAGAGCGCTCCTTACACCAATCTTACAGCCACATCCCATCATGTACTAGGAATATCTAACCCATAAACAATAAATACAAGTACARGAGATGTTCCCGATGTACCGGTAGCCCCACATCATGGTTTTTAAAACTAAACCGGTGATCGAACTGGTCAAAGGTCCGGTTACCAGTTTGAACGGTCGGCCTATTTTGACAAAAAAAATTAAAAAACGGTCAAAACCATTCGAATGGTTCAAACGGTTAACCAACCGAGCTCAGCAGTTTGCTGACCAAAATCAACGGTTTTTGGGAAAAAAGTGGTTTGGGGGGAAAATGGAAGGTGACCAGTTCCCAGTTTTTTTCCGGTCCAGTTTTGAAAACCATGCCCCACATGGCACATTAGAACGCCAGAAGAAGTGTTTGGTGAAATTCCGGACCGGTTCGGTTTGGAAGGCCCAGAACGAAGAAGACAGGTAAAAATCCAAAAAAAAAAACGATCACCACAGCTGAATCAACACACCTCGGCTCTAACATATAAACCCTTCCAAACGGGCTCTTAAAAGCTTACCAAGTTCAGCCCCCCATCCAATACACTGAACAGAATTATTAATTCAATGGTCAGCTCAACCAATTGAACATTTCACAACGGATTTGATTCGTTTTAATTTTTAACATACATAGAGTTCTCCACTAGTGAGATTTTGTTAAATATTAGCACCCGGCTTACTTATTCCCAGTTTGCCATTGAGTTCGTATTCCACCCCTTCGTTAATTGGCCGCAGTTCTTGCCATCATGAACAAAGGTTCCTCTGATTTACATTTTTGAAGAATAAACTAATATTGGGTTTATGTCTACAAATCATACCTAAATTGACAACCAATCAACCAATATCCAATGTTCAAAGTATCAGTATTATGTATTGCATCAAAACACTTAAAATACGGATAACTATGGGACACATTAAAATGTTGTTCAATAAAAGAACTTGATACATTACTGACAGATCCATCTCATAATTCTTCCGCACCATGAAAATCATAAAATAAATTATTCTTAATTTTCAATCATCAAAAWTTAAGAAAAAAAAAGAACACTTTTTGCATAAATTATTGTTGGATCAATGAGTTTAAAAGGTCATTGACAGATCCATTTATAATCCTTTGTTCCAATGAAAATCATTTAAAACATATGAAAAAATGTTTATAATTTTCTATAGTTTGTTTGTACAGTCTTTCGAAATTGTCAAAAACAAATTAAGAATCATATTTTTTTGACCTAGGCGGCATTCATAGAGCTATAACGCCATGGCCGCTGCCATAGCCCCATGCATGGGTAACYGTTTGATGCATCCACACCTTTAGATAAGGACACAATGTGCCCTATATTGGGTATTGGGTGTACGTATTGATATTTTAAATCTTACCATATCATCAAACGGGAATTGCGCTTTCCTCCATAAATGAAACTACCAAGAAGCCATTTCTAAACAAGCGCAAGAAGCTGGTCAGAGAAACTTTTTTGGGCATTTGGTGTGCAAACTTATTCAACCAACTTTTCTTTATAATACCTACCTTTTTGGCTTCTACAAAATAGGCTTCTGCTTTTTTGGACCAAATAAGCCCATCTGTGGTTTTAACGATTATTACCAATAATATATTTTTGGGTGCTTTCTATGACATCCGTAAAGTTTGGTTCACTAGTCAGTCATGTTGACAAAACTGGATCAGATGTTCCATGCTCCCATTGAAGTCTAAATAAGATCAGCAAAAGAACCAATCTGTAAGCTGTCGACCCAAAACGTGGGTCATGGACTTCATGGTCCCCGCCCATCAACACCCCTAGCCCGTTGTCACACCGCCTGGGCGCCTGTATAATTTGAAGTTCAAGTGATATAACATAGACAAGCACATCCTTTAATCGGTATCAAATTCTTATGGGGTTAAAGTTGGGGGAAAGTTATTAACACAAACTTTGTGATATTACTGAAGGGAATCAAGGGACTTTCTCTCCACCTTATGTTTCTCTCTTATCTTCTGACAAACCAAACAGAGCAGAGGTTATACATATCACTATCAACTAAAATAGGTTATACAATACAATTGTTTAAGGGTGAGAGATCGTAGCACCCCCACTATATGATGCAAGAAAAATTAGGAACTATTCCAATAACTTGTTTGTGAGTTGTGACAGAAGCAAACAGAAACAGACAAGAGCAACACAAGATTTTTGCAAACAAACTTCTGAAGACCCAAGAAACACAACATTGCAGACTAGACTGCAGCGAAAATATCAACCATACAAAGTAACAAACTACATCAACCCTAATACAACAATAACTAGATATTATGTTATTAACTCCACAATCAGCTCAAGGAGTCCTCAACTCCAAGATCACTTCATGGGAATTTCCACCTAAAACATGAAAGGAAATGGCTAGGCCCAAGTAACTCACAAGTCTTTCTTACAAACTCATTTAGCTCTCCAATCACAAGCCTTCCAGAACAAAGATTGGCAGCTCATTTAGTTCCATGGATCAGCACTGTTTCAAATATGATAAACAAAAATACATCAACAATTAGATTGCAATTTCAAAAGTAGCAACTAAATTAAAAGTGTAAACTGGAAAATGAAATAGAGGTATACCTTATATATAGCATTGAACCCAGTAATCTCCAGAGATTGATATGCCACCTTCCAAGTATTAAAAGACAAATGGTGACACCAGCTAACAGAAGCAGACAACTAGCAGGGATTACAACAGGACAATAAGACGAAACACAGGGAGCCTAGACACTTTAATGCAAAAGATGAGGATAAACCAAGTAATAGAGTATAGTCTTCCAATTCCCCTTCCCACCTTTCCCTTAAAAAACCTGAAAAAGGGGGGTGTAGAGGAAGCCAAGACCATTTTGAAGAATTCAGAAAGGAATAAGAGTTTAGAAGGAAAAGGAAAAGGTAAAGATACAGATGACAACACATGAAGAACAACTAAGCAGCCAATTGACGTAATGTCAGAGACCAGATACTAACAAGTGCAAGCCTACCACCTAACCAGCCAATTCAGGCATAGTTGGACCAAGTAGAAGGAAAAAGATTAAACAGAAGGCAATGCAAATCTACCATCTAATCAGCCAACTCGGGCTAACTATAGAAACATCTACCATGTAAGCTTTGGATTAAGTAGAATTCAAATAGTACAGGATTAAGAACCTAAAGGGGATAAAGATGCTATAGAGACCAAACCATGATACAGAACCTGAATGATGATTAACCTAACCAGATGAAAGACCTAAACTGGTTAGTTATTTACACACTACATAGAATTAGATATGCCTAACCTACTCAAGAAAGAAACTTTTATCCACGATTATGATAGAAAGTGTGCTTCTCCATAACCATATCATAACTTTTGACCGCTGAAAGACAGTTTCCATCATTACCCATTGATAAGAGAACGCCAAGAACACTGCAGAGACAGGCAGATGTGCAAGTGAGCAGATCAAATATCAATTTTTTTCAGCATCAGTCCCCTTCTCCTTCCCGAAAACCCATGCTATCCGTTTTTTTCAGCACACAGCACTAGTTCTCTTCTCCTTCCCGAAAGCCGTCCATCAGAAAACCCATGTTATCCATTTCTTACCATCTATACTTGCAGTATAGTCAGAATATTGCTGTATGTCGCTGTTCTTGTACCACCAACAAAGAAACAAAGAAAGCTGTAATGATGCAAAGGCTAAACCTACAGACCATATTATTCACTACTTATATACAAGCTACCGGTAACCCATGTTGCACATGGAAATTATTCACAGGATTCAGGACCCTCCACATTCTCATTCATCATCAATATCCAGATGGAGAATACGGCGCAGGTTCTTAGTTGCAGAGTCAATGTTGAGAAAGAAATCCCTTGGAGTTGGATTAGTTGCAGAGTCAGTGGTGAGAAAGAAGTCCCTTTTAGAGGGACACAGTTCCCTTGTGGGTGAAGGCGGAGCAGATTTAGCAATAGGGTGCATTGTAATCACCGCAGAGGTTGATGTAGGCAGATCAAGAGACACACTTCGCTTCTGACGAAGGCTAAATTTGGGGATGGGCAAAGAACTCGGGGGAGGTGAGTTCGAATATGCAGGTCCAGCCCAGAGCTCAGAGCAAGAAAGGTCATCGTTGTAAGACCAGCCCTTGTTGGAAACATTGAGATTTATAGGAATTGCGCTGCTTTTTCCAGTATTCTTCAATGGCTTCTCATCTTCAAATTGAGGACTCAAAGATTGTGGCGTTCGCGGGGAAGAACAAGTCCTTCTAATTGCAGAAGGACTATTAAAAAACTTTGAAGGAGTCGGAAGAATACCTGCTCCAGATTGAAAGGTTCTGCAATTGATCTCCCTGAAGCCTCTGGAAGGGGAAGAAAATGTATCGGAAACAGTAGAGTTGCTTCTGCTGTAATATTGATTCCGATGCTGAGAGACAATAACAAGAGTCTCCATTTGCAAGTATAAGAAATCACAGCGGACTAGTTTAGGTTCTCTTTTACGATCTGCGTGACCTTCCCTGTACTAAAAACCTCTAATAGCTCTGTGACCAATCTTGCCTGCTACAGCATAGATAGGTTAAAGCGAGGTCTTCGAACCCCGAAGATCGGTCAAAACCACGAAAGTTTGTCCTATTTTCAGTTCAAATCGCAGGAAAGCTCCTGCACACAAGAGATACTATTTATCCACAACTGTCACAGCTGGAGCAGATCTTGACCCCAGATTCAAACTACAGGTCTACAGCCCTCAAGCAGAAGAACCGAAACTAGATCTTCACCTATAGTACTTGAAAGCACAGATCGAGAACAAAACCTCATCAAAATCTGCAACATAAGGAAAAGCACCACTTGAATCGATACCGAAAGAAACCAAAAGACAACATCATCGGCAAAGAAGGGGGAAATGCTTGGAAAAAGCACTTACATGTGAAGAACCAGAAACCCCAGTAGATGATAGCCAAAGCAGATGAAACCTTCATAACTTTAACAGAACTATGGACTAGAAAACACCGAAACAAAGATCAGAAGGCTGGAAAATGGAATAAAATCTAGATATGGAAGTTTAGGCAACGACTTGTCGATCTATAAGCGCGATCTCTCTACTCTCAGCTCCGGTTTTCTCTCAGAAATCAGAATGCCCTGAGAGCTCCGCCTCCGAGCTTGGAACAGGAATGGCGGATCTGAAATGACTCATTAGTCATATTTAAAGATCAGAGGTTCGAATCGAAGGGTGTGCGTGCGCCCTGTGAGTGGAAAATAAATAGGCCTGCAGTCTTCCAAAAATGTCTCTCGTCTTTCAATAGATTGACGAAGATAGTATCACCTTTGAGGCTTTTTTGACAAGGAGGGAGGAACTTTGGCTTTCTGACCACCGAGATAAGGTACACTCCGGATTCAGTGCGTTTGGACTCGAAGGGATTTTCTCTTCGAGCCCATTAAAATTTTGACACGTCGTTCGGTGCTCTATTAATACTTACAACCGGCTGAAATTTTATGCTTAACAAAAATAATTTCAAATGAAAATTGATAATTAACTTTTTAAAACTATTACGATATAAATTTCTAAAACCCTCACGTTGTCAGACTCTAACCTTTTTCACCCAATTGCACTATTAACAGCAACACGACAATAGAATGGCAACGGCCAATACGGCGATTATGGATTTTAACGGTAGCAGCAACGGTGTTAGTGAAAAGTTTCAAATATCAAGAATATTCAAAGGAAAGCTGATATCTACGTATGTCTAAGGTTTTTCATCTTTTCTTTTTGAATGCRGATGAAAGAATCATTTTTTTATTTTCTTTTTAATTCCAGCAAATAGTAATATTGTATGAATGTTGGAAATTCTTTTCCTCTGTATCTATTGAGTATTTCTTTTTGGTTTTTTTGTGCTATTTTACATTTATTGTTTGAATTAACTTGTATTCGTTGTTCAAAAAACTCCAATCATTAATGGGAAGATAAAGTCCGAGGCTGTCTTCTTCTTCTTCCATGCAAATGTTCTTCTTTATACGGACAAAAATATATAAAGACCTCACATTCTCTTCTCTATTCCTGCTCCCTCAATCAATAACTGTAGTTTACCCCTGTTTTGGCAAGCCAAATGGCAAAATGAAATAAAGAGAACTAAGAAATAGATAAGATCTCAATTTCAAAAGAACCGTTCAGGGGTGCTCTGCTCTATTATTGTTTCATTTTTCTCATCGATTTTGCTAACTTGAATCACCGGTAACGATGGGATTAAATCAAGGGAAATGATAAGCGAGAACCATGAGTTTAGCGTCCGCAGGAGGTGCCTTGGCCTTAGGCTTCTTCAGTCTAAGCAATTCTACCAAGCCGTATCTCGATATATGGTACAATAACATTTTCGTGTCAGTTGTACAAGTACTCGGCTCGGGAGCAGATCCTAAGCGAAGTCAAGTGGCTAATGCATCAATACCCAAATGAGGAACTGAGCATAAACATGACCGGCCACAGCCTGGGTAGCACGCTAGCGATGCTAAGTGCATGTGACATAGCAAAGACGGGCATGAACGTGATGGAGGATGGCCAGGCAATTTTGGTGATGGTTTTCTCGTTCACAGGACTAAGAGTCAGGATTGTGAGCTTCAAGGTGCAGGTGGTGAGGTTGGGGGTGAACATTCATGACACGGTGCCAAATGTTTTAGGTATACTGTTCAACGAGCATGTGCCAAAGTTGGTTCACCGGTTGGCGCGTGTGGTTGTCGTGGTGTTACTTATACATAGGAGTAGAGCTCATATTGGACCATGAGCACTCTTTCTTCCTCAATTTTTTATTTAAAAATATTTTATTAGTCATAAAGCTTCATCTGGTTGCAGGTGATGGCTAGTTGAGCACCGATCGATGTGTCAAAATTTTAGTGGGCTCGAAGAGAAAATCCCTTCGAGTCCAAACGCACTGGACCGGTAGGGATTCTTTAAATGACTAAAACACCCTTCTATGAACTTCAGTTCCTTTGGCCGTGCTTGTAAGTTGGATGAGTGGATCCCAATAAATATTTTGGCATGTATAAGAAAAAAATTATTTGTAAAATATTACATTTATCAAGTTTTTAGTGATTTATTGCAATTTTGAATTGGACTTCGAAAATTAGACTATGTAATTAATTAATTTGCATGCGAGAGAGACTTTTCATGAAACTAGCAAATGTGTAGTGCACATTTTTAGATGATAATAGTAATGATATATGTTCAATTTTATCTACAATTATTTTGATGAATATATAATATTCCTGCTTGTAGTTTTTCTTTATTAAGATGAATATATAATATTATAGATATATCTTAATATTTAAAAAAAAAATCATTTTTTATAATTTTTGTGTTTTTCTATTTAAGTTTTATTATTTAATTATGATATCATGGGGTTGATTCATTTGACCCATATGGCTGAATTGTTTATCCAATTACCTATCACTTAGATAGAAAAACCTATCATTAAAAGTATTGTATATAGATTTAACTAATAGAATTTATTGAGGCGCTTTCAAAGGTATTTCTTTGGGGGCGGGAGCTGCCCATCTCGGCTCTCCTTCCCCTTCCTCCTTTTGGTTTTTCTCCCTCCTCCCTCTCTCTATTTTGAGAGAGCATTCCTCTCGAGTTTTTCTCAAGGCTTCCTCTTGAGTTTCTCAAGGTTTTGTTTCTTTATTCGTAGTTTGAATCTGTTTGCAGTTCTTGTTCAAGTTCGTTGTTTGCCGACGAAGAGTCTTTTGATTTTTTCCTCTGTCAATTCGTTGTTCTCCGATAATTGTTGTTCATAGTGAGTCCAGTTCACGGTTCTCCAATTGATGTTGTTCATGGTGAGACCCATTCGGTGTTCTTCGGCGATGGCAATCTTTTGGAATCCTCCCCTATCAGTTTTGTTCGCCGTCTATGGTGGATTGGAGATGTGCTTGTTTATTTCTGTTGGTGATTTAACCTCACCTTTTCTCAATTGTAGAAGATCTTTAGGTTCTCCTTCATCCATTGTTATATTTTGTTCTCTTGAGAAATTGTTTTTGGGTTTTTCTGATTGGCCTTGTCGGCTTTTTTCGTATCAATTTCTTGATTGAATGAAATATAATGTCTATGGGCGATTTCAAAAAGTAAGAATTTATTTAAGAGAACAAAACATATCTTAAATATAAGATTTAATGAGAGAAAATGGAAGCTAATACCTTAAACATGCATCTATTTACTATTTAATGTCAAYATTTGCCTTACTTCATATCTATGCCATGAAAGTTAAATCAAAATATTTTTCATCCTTTTATTTTTATATATACATTTGAATGGCACGTCCTACCAATATTGTGTGTATAGTAAATGACATTGATACCTCCTAACATTTTGTTTTTGTTTTCCATGATTTACCCATAATTATTTTATGTACAACATATTTTGGAGATGGTTTATATGATCACTTATAAGAAGTGATGTCTTGCAAGTTGAAGAGATATTGACATATAAAAAAAGACATGGGTTGAAGTAGGTAAGAAATGATTTGAATGCTCATAATTTTAGGAATGGATATAACACCAAACAAACATGATTCATGTAAATGACCCCATATGATTTGGAGAAGGCTTAGATGATGATGATAATGATATAAGATATTTTGAAAAGGAGCAAAAAAAATCAGTAGATTTATTGTCAAATAACCAGGCTTAAAGGCTTATTAGTCAAATTTAGTCTTATTAGGTGGTTAATTTTGAGTTTATTACTTACCGTCAGAATTGCGCAAATCTCTAATCTTTTTCTTATTCTTTTGACTCGCCCCTCTAAAATAGGGAATAAAGGAAGAAACACAAGAAGTAATTGTACTAGGATTCTTGAGTAATTCTCTCTGGGTGCTTTTGATTATCTTCCTTTGCTCAACAAGATTACTCTACCTTTTTTATGTTGCATTTTCACTTCCCTTGCTGGTTGTTTTCTATGGTCTTGTAATTATGAATTAAATTTGCTTATCGGGCTTTTAAAAAAAATAATAAAATTGTACTAGCTTAACTATAGAGTTTGAACTGTCCTAATAAACCAACCCAAAATCCATCAACAAATTCAGATTGGATTTATTATTGAGTATCTTGTGGTATGGAATATTAAGGATAAGGGTGTGAGTTAGCCAAGCCAAATAGTTAGCTATTCAAGCTTAGCTTGCTAAATACTTGAAATTCACTCAAATATAATCAAGTTTAATCAAGTTCAACTCCAATCAAGTTTAGGCTTCCAATACTTGGCTTGAGCAACTCACAAGCCTAATCAAGCTTTATAATAAAATATATTATTTTTGTAAATTTTTATTTATAATAAAAATAAATAAATTTATATATAAATTTCTTAATTTATTTTTATTTATAATATTTTCTTAATTAGGCTCAAATAGCTCACAAGTTTCAAAGTCAGTTGAACTCAAGTTGAGTTTCAAGCTCCGAGTTTTTGAGTTGAATTGAGCTTAAGCAGCTCAAACACTTGACTCCATTCGGCTCGATCACACCATCTAAATACCCTAAATACCCCATCTAGATTCTTCTCAACGAAGCTGAATAACTAAGGAAAGACTATAACACTTATCTTTAATTCTTTTTAAGATTATTAACCAAAAAAGGAACAAATGCTTTGCACAATGATGGAAACAAAAACTAATAATTTAGGTTATCACCTTTTTCTTTGTATTAACCTAAAAAAGAAAGAAATTGACTTTGCATAACAAATTAAAATGAAGGAAGCAAAAAGATCTTTCCATAAAGCAAGAATTCTTCCACCTTCAAAGCATTAATACCATTATTATAAAAATTTATCCTTATTCAAAAAGAATTATAAAAGTTTATCACACAAATATTGGGGATCTATATATATGCAAAATAAACCCATGTTTATAGGTAATTTCATATTCAAAGTTTAAAACTTTAATTGGACTTTTTGTTTTTTGGAGTAGAAATAATTGTCTAATATACATGTAACCAATACAAGGTGATGCATATAGCTAGCTAACAGGACTTTTTGTTTTTTGGAGTAGAAATAATTGTCTAATATACATGTAACCAATACAAGGTGATGCATATAGCTAGCTAACAGGTATGTGTGTGTGAGAGAGAGAGAGAGAATGTATATGAGGTTGACCCTGAACTAGGGAGGGTGGGGTAGGGAAGGAAGTAGAGTTTGGGACAAAACTATGCCACATAAAAAAATCTTTTGTATGTTTATGGAAAAGTATATTGTTATCATTTTAAAAACAATATATGTTTGATCTTATATGCAGAAAAACATAAAATTAATTGCATATAAAAATGGATTGCTCAAAT